CTGTCTGGGTTTCAATTTTCGGAATTGGATGCGCACTGCTGAAGGGTCCCAAATATGAAACGAAACGGCCGTCCAGTGTATTCTATTGAGTTTTTTTTTAAGACTCGATGAATTACTTAATTTTCATATATTCACACACACACACACACACACACACACATATACATATATATATATATATATATATATATATATATATATATATATATATATATAGTTACTGCCACAAAATTGTTGTTACCTAAGTTTTAAAATGGATTTTAAAAAATAAAAAGTTCTTGAATTTTCGTTTTAGCTTTAATTGAAAGCTAAATGATTACATTTACTATTTCCAGTAAGAAAAATACTCTGGTGTATTTCAAATAGAAATTTTATTGATTGGAATTTCAACTCTCTTGGGTGCTTTTAGAAAATCGATAATAATCTATAAATATCGTTTATTTGGATAGCTTAGTAAACAAAATTTCATTCTCCCTTTTAAAATATTCCCAAAAATAAAATATATATTTATGATTCGTTATTTGAGAATGATTATCAAATTCAGCGTTAAATTAATCTGATTTGAAACAAATATTACTTAAAACTTAAAACGTAGTATACAGGCATCTTTTAATCAGGGGTCTTTTCTTTCTGGCGTGTTAATCGATTGATTGGCAGCCGAAAAAGTGAAAAACCGAGTATAGTTTACCAGAAATTGCCATAAATTTACATAATCTGAGTGAACGCTTTGTTTTTGGTTTTTAACTACCTAGAAATTTAAAAATGTAACAATATTCTCAGCCATTATCTAATATTTTATTGAATTTCAATTATTTATATATATATTGATAGCCTTACTTATTTTTTTATCAAAATAACTCTCACAAAAAAGAATAAACTTTAAATAAAAAGTAAAAACTACCTTTAAATAATTTCTGAAAAAGAGCATTGCATTATTAAGAGGAAAGATCAAAGTATTTTTGCTTATGTTATTAAATTTTGTAATCTTTTCTGGCACGTTCGAAATTTTGTCTAAAAATCTTGTTTTTCTTTTGTCAGCGGGTGGGCCAAAGATTAGTATTAGGAAATTTAGCGTCTTTCCCGGCGTTAAAAACAAATTGGAAGTTCTTGCAAAAATCAAATAATTGTCGGATTTGAATTAAATTTTCAGGACTCATTCAGAAATGAATGACATTATTTGAAAATTATTTTTTTAGAAAATTTTGGTAAAAATATTTTTTACATCTGTTACCCACTATATAATTTTATGAAATTTTAAGGAAATAATATTTCAGCCCATTCATATTTATTTGAGTTAAAAGTAGGGCAGATTGGAAAACATAAATAATCAATTTGTTTTTGCGAAGCAAAAATACAATTTACCGAAAATTTGCTCTGAATCATAAAATAAAAAATGCAATAAAACTATATTATGTTTTAATTAGTGAATCTTTTAATTGTCTTTATAAATAATATATATTAAGGACATTGTTGTCTTAGGAAAAACTATCTTTCGATGAATAATGAATTTTTACAAAAATTATGTTCATTTTTTTAAAATTTCATTTAGAAAAAAATTACTAAGTTTTAAATTTTTAAAAAATTCCGTATTAATTTCAGCCTTTTAGATAATATTATTAAGTGTATTTACTAATCATGAATGAAATTGCTTAATACAAATCATCAAAAACTAATATTTAAAAAAAAATTTTGATGTTTTTTTTTGCGTATAAACGTGCCGATTTTTGCAAGTACAGGCGACCATACATAACATTATCTGAAAATAAGAACGATAAGTATAATATATTTGAAGTCAACATTTCTAAAACGTCATTTTCTTTAATGTTTTACAGATAAATTATGCATAGATCAACATTAGACCTCTCATCAGACTATCAATACGTCGAAACAGCTACTCTCGGGTTAAAAAAATAAAAAATTAAAAAAAACAGCTACGTACTGTCCGGTTAAAAATGCATTTCTGCGATATTTTAAACTTAATGTAATTAATATTTGTTTCAAATCAGATTATTTATACTGTAAATCAGCTAATATATCTGATTAATAATATCAAATAAAGTTTCAGACATTTTTTTGGAAATTTTTGTGATAAAAGACGACTAAACAGGCTAAACAGCTACTTTATAAAAATAAAAATAAAAAAATTCCGAGTCAATTTAAATTAGTTTTTGAAATACAGAAAGTTATTTTCCTTATTGGAAATATTAAATTTAATCAATTAGCATGAAATTAGTACTAAATGTAAAAGCTTCAAGAAAGATTTTTTCACTTTTAAAATTTCATTTAAAATTGTAGGGATCGCGATTTTTTGTGGAGGTTCTTAATTAACACGCTTTTATTTAAGAACCCATAGAGTCTGTAGACACCAATTCCTGCCCGGAGAACAGAAATACATTGAAAATAGATTCAAACTTGCCCAATAGCCGAAATATCAAAATTATAATATCAAAAGCATTTCCTTGGTTCTACCAACCTTAATCCTTACAGCTAAGGCCCGCCATGCCGTGTAGACTGAGACGAAACACACACCTAGCCTTTGTATTCCATAGGTGAGAAGTTACACTTAAATAGCTTATTCCAAGGAATTCCAAATTTATGGAACCAAATCCAAAGAGGATGCTTTCCCGACCACTGAAATCTTAACCTGAGATATATCCATAAATATGCATATACAAATAGTTAATTTCTCAATTCATTTCAGAAAGAGAGAGCCGAAATATTTTTGGTACATTATAAAGAAAAGAGGCTTGAAGAATAAAACACTCAAAAGACATACGAAAATTATGAAAAGTAGAGTAAACGGTGATTCGCCTACTTGATGAGTGCAAGTGAATGGATGTCAGAACAAAGACAAAGTGAGTGTTATTAAAGGGGAAAGGGAACAAGATCAGAAGGTGAAGAGAGCCATGATCGCCAATATCCATTAGGTATATGCTATATAAAAGAAGATGGTAAGTATTATATTATTATTATTATTGCAAATATTTTTCTTAGTAGATATAACATTTTCACTCATGTTTTTAATGATTTAAACATTCATATTTAATATCTACCGGCTTCGAGATCGAAAGTCTTATTCATGAAACTTGGTCGACAGATAATATATTTCACTGTGTTAATCTGACAAGTCGGATTTAAAAAATCCATTACATATACTTCCTAATACTGTAAATATTATTTTGTGGATATCTATGTTTGAGTGTTTCCTTTTTTTTTTTTTAATTACGTCTACCGACCTGTGGATTTGAGAGACTTTACCCTCCAACAGGGTTCAAATCTGCATTCCCCCCATTGTAGGAGAAAAAACCGATCCGGTGTGTTTTAGATCGCCCGATCACGGGGAGCGTGACAGAACACACACACACACACACACACACACACACACACACACACACACACACACACACACACACACATATATATATATATATATATATATATATATATATATATTATAAATTAACTGATTTAAAATATGTTTTTACCCTACACAGTAATAACCATGTTTCAAAAATAGAAGCTAAAAGCTTCGAATTTAATTTTGGAATTAAATTAAAAACATTAGTTCCATTTCATCCTCAAGCGAATTTTGGGGTAACTTATTTTTTTAATTTACTGAGTTTTAAACGCACAGAAAAATTCATAATTCACTGTTTCCCAGGATACAGAGAAATCCAGTCATTCAGACAAGGTGTGGGAGCGTGTTCATTTTTATTAACTTTTGTTGTATCAGTTATTAGTTACGTTTAGGTAGTGTAGGGATGTATTTTCCAATGAATTCTGACATCCGTTAAATGCATGACGTCTGGGGTTTTACTGAAAAATTAGTATTGAAAAAGGGGCTCAGTACACGTGTGAAAATTAAAAATAAAATTTTAACATGCAGCGCTTTTAAATTTAAAAGGACGTAGGAGATGAGTCGATTCCGCCCCTTTGGTTTCAACCTTTCGGTATCGTCAGGCGCTTTGTATCAGTTGATTTCTTTTGTGATGTCAACGAATACCCGTTGTCACTTTCGTAATGCTTGTTGTAGTAGAGACTTTGTAATCGCAGATACAACTATAGTAACGCCGTTGAACAATACTGGTGTCAGACGCCTTCGAATAACCTCGCACTAATAGTACGTGCTCGATATTACTCGCTCGAATAGTAACCACCGAATAGTACTCCGTGTAGTGATCAGTAGAGAGAAATAGAGTATTGTATAGAGAATATAGAACCATATAGAAATAAACGATACTGTAGAAAGAGTGATCCGTACAGTATAGAGGATAGACTTGAAATAAGGATCAATTAGACACCACGCTAATTGCCATATACGTTTCCTAAATGGTCACGTGATCTACTTCATTCAAAAAATGGGATCGCCTGTGTTTGCTCTCTGGCGATCTACGTTCAAACTACAGTGTCGGCAGCGACGTTTTTTTCCTATATAAAAATTTCCCAAGGCTTTACTTAAAAAAACTATTAATGAACGCTTTATTATTTAAAAAAATAAACAAAAAGCACGACGTTGGCTTTGATAGGAAGGGAGGAGGAAGAGGATGTGAAGAAGCGGTTGAATAAGAAGTATTGTAAATGTATCGCTGGGAGTTTAATTGAAATGTATATATTGTTTTTTTGTCTAGCCTCATATGAAACTAAGAGGATTTTTTTTGTATGAATGCAACGCTTCATAATTTCGGACCTTTGCTTCAAAAGATATTTTGAACCCGGAAAAATCATTATTGCTAACTTTATGGTGACAGAGGTTGCAGATGTTATTATCGTTGTTGTTAGGTTAAATTCACACACACACACACACACACACACACACACACATATATATATATATATATATATATATCCGGAATCAGGTCGAGGTTGCTGTTTGAATCGATATGATGCAAATTCTCAAATCGGCGATGAGTATAGTGCATCAGTGAAGACTACACTTGATGCATTTAAAATGTATTATGCGAATCTATCTATCTATCTATCTATCTATCTATCTATCTAAGTCTGCTTTTATCTATCTATCTATCTATCTATCTATCTATCTATCTATCTATCTATCTAGTCCTGTTCATGATCTATCTATCTATCTATCTATCTAATTCTATTCATGATCTATCTATCTATCTATCTATCTATCTCAGTCTGTCTTTTATCTATCTATCTATCTATCTATCTATCTATCTATCTATCTATCTATCTATCTATCTATCTATCTATCTATCTAGTCCTGTTCATGATCTATCTATCTATCTATCTATCTATCTATCTATCTATCTATCTAATTGTATTCTAATTATCTATCTATCTATCTATCTATCTATCTATCTATCTATCTATCTATCGATCGATCGTGTGTGCGTATATATGTCACCAACCCATCTAATTATATTAAATGTTATGTGTCATTTCATACAATGTGCGTTTTTCCTGTTTGTAAATTATAACACATTGTATTTGGAATAGAAACTTTTATAATGTAATTAAGGCATTTAATGGGACAGCACATTTTGGGGACAGCATTGCAATTAAGCCACTAATTTTATAGAAAGGAAAGATCATTTTGACAACTGAGTCGAATCAAAAAGAGTTTGTTCAAATATGAAGTTATTTCTTTATATCGTATTATGGCGATCTCGAACGCATTAAACTGAATTTAGCATAAATAAATAAATAAATAAATAAAACAAAACAAAAACGAATTTCACAAATGAATGTATACATGATGTGCAAGGATAATATTCTCTTTCTACTCAGATCGATAACACTTCCTATCGTAGCAGACTTTCCTATTATCAAGGACGAGGCGTGATCAAAAAGTATTGGGACTGTTACTATGATAAAGGAGGTAAAGTACGCAGAATGAACACACTTGGCATAGATATTCCTTTGGTATCTGTCGCGCATACGCACTAAGTTATTACGTTCTGGCTCACGGCCGTTGTTTATTGCAGTGTTTGTAAGGGAAGTGTGTAGAGTGTGGCCGTTTCACCACACACATACATCCTATCAGTAATCATGCACCAGTCCCGATACTTTTGATCAAACTTACTATAATAATCTGTAATACTTCCAAGTGCTAATCGCAGTGCGGATTATGGCAAAGAAGTACCTGGTAAACGACATAGCACGCGCTGGATTATTTATCAAATGTTCATTAATCGCTGAGCGTAAACCAGCATCTACCATGATGAAGTTATGATGAGGTTTATTATTATTATTATTATTATTATTATTATTATTATTTCCTTTGATTTCTGTGGTATACATATTTCCTTCCGGGTCCCAACAAGAGATCTAAGGTCAGAAATGGCTGCATGCCATTTTTCACTGATCAGTTTTGCATATATATATATATATATATATATATATATATATATATATATATATATATATATATATTATTGTTGCTTCAGAAGGGAATTGCTGAACTGATGTGTTGTAGTTTTCTTTTTATAGCATCAGTCCCGATAGTTTGTAATCAGTCCTTGTATGCTCCCTTTCGTAGGTTGAGCACTTTGGAAGAAAGGGATTTTGTCGGCTACTGCTGGTTAACGCTAAAATCCCTTCGCTATGAATTGATATAAGCCTTAACAACTCCTCTGCTAGTTGGTAAGGCTTATATCTCGTATATAATGCGTAAAAAATCCCATTATCCGTAGTATGTTGATGGCCAAAGTGTGAAAGTCTCCGACATGTCAATCCCGGCTTGGGCTGATGAGCAGCGAAACAGTTTGTTTGTGATATATATATATATATATATATATATATATATATATATATATATATATATATAAAAAATAATAGGAAAGAACAGTAATATTTATAATTCAGTGTTCTTAGCTTTTATTTTATTTTTATAGGATTCAATCGCGACACAGAACATTCTGTTTCAAAACAGAAAACTCCAGTTCTAGAATAATTTTAAAAATTAAATCTACGATACAGAGTTTCGTTCTATTATCAAGCGATTTTAAGCGATCTTAAAATCCCTTAAAAATTGAAGGGAACATTATGTTGTAGATTTAATTTTTAAAATTAATCTAGATATGGAGTTTTCCATTTGGAAACATAGGATGTTCTGTGTCGAGATGGAATCCTATTTTTTTAAAATAATTATGATATATATAAGAGAGAGAGAGAGAGAGAGAGAGAGAGAGAGAATTAGTATATGTTACTTAGCTGATTTGGGTTACTTCTAGAGTTTCGTAGACGAATCATCCAGCTCGTCAGGGGTTTTCTGCAATACATCCTTATAACTGTACCTAGTCATGATCGAACCCAATATTACATCAGCAAAATGGATTGATAAATCTCGCACTGATGCAAAGATCTATTCATTATTTCTATATACATATGCTAAAGAATACTTTTATGCATGGTGCGTTTTTTAAAACTTCTACTTTTTACCCACCCACTTCGGCCAAATTCCTCCATGTCGTATCGGTAAAAACATTCGTCGTCTGGCCTTTCCTAATTATAATTAGTCAATTTTAAAGGATGACGTTAGCTATCGATACCTGGACGACAAAAGAAATTGCTACATCTAAGAGGCAGGCAACCGCGAGTTTTATGACGACCGTACGTTTTTGATTCTAAGTCGAAAAATGCCGCACGGAATTTTATCGTCACATACACTAATATGACGGACAAGCTAAGTTAATATTTTACGTCCAGTCTTGCTCATTTGATTAATCAAGTGTCATTTCGTTTTTGTTACGTCGTATCCAAGAATTTGATTTCTTCTTTGCCGATCGCTTCTTTTATGATGATGGTGTCGATGACTACATTTACCGCCAACGTGTAGGTACAAGACTAGATGCTTTCACTTTTACCAAAACCATTCATCCATTCGCTATCGCCGTTTGGTTTTGCAAGAGTTGTTTGAAGGTAAAAGAAAATCATAGTAGAAGAAGGTGCCAATGGCGTAAATTTGTTTAAACTGGACAACAACTTATCAGGAAGTGGCCAACATACTTGATTTCATGACCTTCCTCTGCGGCACACATGGGATGAGACATGCAGAATCCAGTTACGAAACTGCAACGGACTGCTGCTAAGTCTGTTATAATTTCGAGTGGCGCCTTTTGTAGTATGTCCGTCATGGGTAGCCCTCTTCATCCGCTGGTTCAACCGTTGAAATCTGTTGTAATCATGATCCGCTTGTTTCACCGTTGGCGGTCTTTGGTATTGGTCGTACTTAGTCTGGGTTCTCGTCTTCAACTTTGCCGCCAAGGATGGCCCTGCCAGGAATTTAGAACACCCGACGGCATCGTTCTCAGAATCGTTGCCCCTTCTAGTACGACAAGAAGCGACTATTAGAGGTACACAAATAAAATTATACACACACAGACGCACGTGTATATTTTACACAGGATGACGGTGTAAGGAGTTCGTTATCAAATGTTACTTTAATGACAATAATAGAAACAAAACAATAAATAAGAAAAGTACATCATCAAATATACAAGAACCATTTTTTATTATTCTTGTTATTAAACATATTTGAAAGATAAATAATAGAGGTTAAATTAACCATTCTGAATCGATAGTAAAAAAAAAAAAGAGAAATAAACAAAACGAAAATAAGCTATTCCTAAAAGTTTGTCCTCGTCTATAAAAATGTTACGTTACACATTTTTCTATCAATAAATAAGAAAAGGATAACAGAATAAAATTATCGGCTAATGTTATTAAAATTGTTTTGATGATAAATGATAGGGAAAGAAATCTACGATACTGAACCAATAGTCAAAGATAAACAAAACAAACATTACAACTCGAAATGCTTTTCGGACAGTTTCGAAAATGACGTCCTTTTACATAAAGAAGAGAAATGTTACACTTCAATATTATAAATAGATTAAAATTATTCATGCATATGTATAAGTAATTTAACAAAATATTGTTAACATAATAATAATTAATGATTATAGATGTTCTTAATAACGTAAACTTTCTAAAACACTCTAAAAAAAATTAAACAGTCAATGTATACCTCGACTTATATTCAAAAGAGAGAAAACAAATATACATTTTAATAATTAAAGATTATAAATTGATAATAATGTAATAAAATTTATAATAAACAATTAATAAATGAATAATTAAAATAATCAAGACTCCACTTTTAAAATACATCACCGCTTTCTTTGAGCAATTAAAAAACACGTCTGTTTACTCCGACATCCAAAAGATTACTGGTAAACGTCATGTTAGCCGTTTCCGTATGGGAAAACATACGGTATTTTTGATTGAGCAGCCATTACTGCTTTTCTGGTTAAAATTGATAAAATCTCTGTCTTAAAACTTTCTTTTACATCTTTACAGAAAATAGGTTTATCATACCCGGTAGCTGTTATCGCTCTTTCTAGTTTTGATTGGAATTTTTTTCGTAACGTTTTATTTGAAGTAGTCTGGGACGTCAACGTCTTAATTATATAATTATTTTCTCTTCGTGTTACATGTGATACCCATTTCAGCTGTTGCCGCTGTTGAAATTCATTAAGTGATGTCGTTTCTGTTATTTGGTTCAGTTGTTTGTTTGTGATTCTGTAGCGCCAATCCACAAGATTTGAAGAAGTGTGTTGAGAAAGCGGTTGCATGCAGCTGACAATTTCGATCAATAAAGTCGCTAAGACGCAAGGGGTTAGTGAATATGAATGGATATGAGATAAAAAAGAACATTATTAAAGAAAGAGACCGACCCATTTTGGGATTGATAGTGTAGTAGTTTCTCGTTGCCATCTCCACGGTGATTTAATAATGAAAGCAACTCTATTTTGCTGGCGGTGTTTTTTTTTTGTCTACTCATCAAGAGTTCTGCTTTTTGATAGGTGTTAGTTTTCGTCGTGCAGAGTTGCAAACCACCCTCATTTAATCGAGAGAGTAAGCTTTTTGATAGTTTTCTTAAATCATCAATATCTGTCTATCTATCTATCTATCTATCTATATATATATATAAATATATATGTGTGAAAATTTCTCCGACTTAATCAGTAGAGAAGACAATATTTATGAATAAAAATGACAATAGGAAAACTAATAATTGCTGACGCGTTTCGTCCAATATAGACTTTTTTTTTCGTATTTTGCTTTGATAAAGTTCACATTGGACGAAACACGTCAGCAAGTACTAGTTTTCCTATTGTCATTTTTATTATATATATATATATATATATATATATATATATATATATATATATATATGAAGAAATATACTCTAAGGTGTGCTATATTTATGGGATAAAGTGCACAATATCAGAGATAGAGCGTGAGTAAATAGAAAAGAAAAGTGAACATTGAAATCAACACTTCGTGGCGAAAGGCTGTTTCATGCTAAACGCAATCGTGGCCTGACGATTGCGTCTAGCATGAAACAGCCTGGCCTGTTGCCTCTAAGTGTTGAATTCACTGTTCACTTTTTATATATATATATATATATATATATATATATATATATATGA